TTCTTAATGATGTCCATTATGACTGGGACATCATCATAATTTCATTTCATATATATTTCATTATGAAATGAAACTATAATGTAGTTTATGTTTGTGTTTCTCTGAAGTTTAAGGAAGTCGAGCATTTTTTCATATATTTATTGGCCATTTAGTTCATTGTTTGAGAACTGCATTTCATTGTTTATTGATTGGATTGCTTGAGGGTGTTTTGGTATTTAGTCTCTTGAGTTCTTTATATATTCTAGGTATTACTTTTCTATCCAGTGCACAGCTATCAAAGATTTTCTCTCAACCTGTAGCTGTCTCTTCACCCTGGAGACTATTCCCTTTGTTATTCAGGTTTTTAATTCCATTTTCCACTTGATATCTCTTGAGTTATTGGACTCCTTTTCAGAACAATCCTTGCCTGTAGGGATGTGTCCCAATGTTTTCCTCTAATATTTTCAGAGTTTCAGGACTTAATTAACCTTAAGGCCTTTCATCAACTTTGAATTTTTTATACAGAGTGAAAGATAGTGATCTAGTTTCATTCTTTGACAACTGGACTTCCAGTTTTCTCAGAACGATTTGTTGAAGAAGCTGCCTTTATCAACTGCATGTTTTTGACATTTTTGTCAAAAATCAGGTGACTATGCCTGCTTGGGCCCTCTATTCTATTCCATTGGTTTACATATCTGTCTGTGCCAGTACCATGATGTTTTTACTATGGCTCTGCACACAGTATTACTTGAAACTAGGTATTGTGATAACCTCCAGCACTGTTCCTTTGGTTCAGGGTCCCCTTGGACACACAGGATTTATAGTGTTTCTATAAGAATTTTAGGACTGTTATTTTCTATTTCTACGAAGAATGTCATTGGAATTTTTATGATTGGATTTAATGTATAGAACAATTTTGACAATACAGCCATTTTCACTATATTAATTCTTCCAATTCATTCTTTTCAACTTCAGCTTCTTTCTTTGGTGTTTAAATGTTTCATTGTAGAGGGTTTTTTTTTTTACTTCCTTAGTTGTTTATTCCTATAGTTCCTGTTTGTTTTTTGTTGTTGTTTTGTTTCCATTCCTGTGAATGAGATTTTTCTTCTGATTTTTCTCTCAAGCTACTGATTTTTGTAGGCTGATTTTGTACAGTGCTACTTAGCTTAAAGTGATTATTAGTCCTAAGATTGTTCTCATGAAATCTTTAGGGTCTCTGGTGTACAAGATTGCATCATTGCTAATAGAGATAATTTGAATTCTTCTTTTCCTATTTGCATCCCTTTTATTTCTTTTCCATGTTTTATTGTTATAACCAAGATGCCAAAGACTGTACTGAATAAGAGTGAACATCCTTGTCTTGTTCTTGATTTGAGTGGAAATGCTTTGCAGTTTTTCCCACTTAGTATATGCTGGTTATAAGTTTATATGTAGTTACAACTACGTATGTAGTTGGCATATGTTCCTTTTATTCTTAGCTTCTTCAGATATTTTATTAGGAACAAATATTGGACTTAGTTGAATGCCTCTTCTGCATCTACTGAGATGACCATGATTTCTGTCCATGGGTCTATTAATATGATGTGTTATGCTAATAGATTTTCAAATGTTGAACCATCCTCAGGTATCTGGAATGAAGCCCACATGGCCATAGTGACTGATCTTTTTGATCTGTAGTTGAATTTAGTTTACGAATATTTTACTGAGCATTTTTGGATGAATTTTTACCTGGGAGTTAAGCCTACAATTTTCTTTTTCTTTGTTATATTCCTTTCTAATTTTGGCACCAGAGTAATGCTGGCTTTGTAAGATGAGTTTGGTGTCATTCCTTCCCATTTTATTTTGTGGAATAATTTGAAGAGCACTGGCATTAGTTTTTCTTTAATAGTCTGGTAGAATTCAGCAGAAACTCCATCTAGGCCTTAGATTTTATTGTTGAGAGGCCTTTTTTTTTTTTTTTTTACTGTTTTAATCTCATTACTTGCTATACATCTATTTAAGTTGTTTATATTTTTCTTTGATGTTTAAAGGTTTCATTGTAGAGGCTTTAGTTGAGGTGTGTCATATGTGACTAGAAACTTTTTTGGTCATTTTTTAATGTGTCTAGAAATTTATCTATTTTCTCTAGATTTTACAATTTATTAAAATATAGGTTTTCAAAGCATGCCCCAAATGGTCCTTTGGATTTCATTGCTGTAGTCTGCATGTCTCCCTTTTTCATCTCTAAACTTATTAATTTGGTTCTTTTCCTTTCAGTTAATTTGACTGAGGGTTTGTTACGCTTGTCTTTTTCACAAACAAACTCTTAGATTCATTGATTTTTTTTTTTGGTATCGTTCCTTCTTATTTTCATTCCACTAATTTCTACAATGATCTTTATTATTTCTTTCCATCTATTGATTTTGAATCCATCATTAAGTTATTTATTTGATATTTCTCTGATTTTTAAAATATAGGCATTTATAGCTATAAACGTCCCTCTGAAGACTGCTTTCAATGCATCACACAAGTATATCATGTTGTCATTTTCATTCATGATTCTAGGAAATTATTTTCTTAGTGTTTTGAAACAGGGTCTCACTCTGCAGTCCTGGTTGGCCAAGAACTTGCTACGTGGACCAGGCTGACCTTGAACTCACAGGTATTTGCCTGCCTCTGCCTCTGGAGTGCTGGGATTAAAGGTGTATACCACCATGCCTGGCCTGATTTCAGGAATTTAAAAAATTTCTCTTCTGATATCTTCAATGACATACTTGGTATTCAGTACTGTGTTATTCAATCTTCATGAGTTTGTATTTTCTGTGGTTTCTCTTGCAATTGATTTTGAGTTTTATTCCACTGTGAGCAGACAAAATATAAGAAATCATTTCAATTTTCCTGTATTTGTTTGGACTTGCTTTGTCCCATATATTGCAGCCTATTTTAAAGAAAATTCCATTAGCTGTTGAGTAGAATGTATATTCTATAATGTTTGGGGGGAAATCATCTGTAGATGTCTGTTAATTTGATCTATAATGGCATTTAACTTTTTAAAATATTTTATTATTTTTTATTTTATGTGTATGTGTGTATTGCCTGCATGTAGGAAAGTGCACCCATGTCATGCGATGCCCACGGAGGACAGAAGAGGCTGTCATATCCCCTGGAACTGGAGTTACAGACAGTTGTTAGCTGCCATATGGGTGCTGGGATTTGAACCCGGGTCTTCTGCAAGAACAACCAGTGTTCTTAACCGCTGAGCCATCTCTCCAGCCCCTGGTGTTACTCTCTTTAAGCTTTCCTTATTCTTTCTTTGTTCTGCATTTCTGGAGTTTCACATATGCTGTGAAGGATGGTTCTTTTCTGATCTTATCTGTTTGGCATTCTAAACACCTCTTGTATCTGGATGACTTTTTCCTTCCCTGGATTTGAAAATTCTCCTGCTATGATTTTATTGATGTTCCATGCCTTTAGCTTTACTTCTTTTTCTTTCATGCCCATGACTCATACATTTGGACTTTTAGTTGTGTCTCATAGATCTCACAGGTCCTGTTCTTGCTTCTTATTATTTCATCTTTGTCAAGGTCTGACTATTCTAATTCATCTGCTTTGCCTTCAAGCCACATTCTGTCTTCTATTTGATCTATTCTAATGTGAAGTTTTCCACTGAGTTTTTATTTGACTTGTTGAGCTTTTCATTTCCAAAATTCAGTTAAGACTTTTTTTAGTATCTATCTTCATTGAATTATTTTTTCATATCCTGTATTAACTTTTTATTTCATTCAGTTGTTTATTTGTATTTCCTTTGAATACATTTAGACATATATTCATGCCCTCTTTGATTTTGTTGACCATGCTTGTAACTCAACAGCTACCCCCAGTCCATGTGCTCAGAGCAATGGACTCAGTCATTGACAGTACAATGATAACTGCAGAAGTAATCAAAATTGATGGATACACTCACTACAGAAATACAGTAATATTCAATTTAAAACAATCAACACTCAAATATCAACTATTTGGGGGAGTAAAGGAACAGGAATAGTATGGCAGGTACTGATATTTGTTATTAAAGGAAGAACTGTAAAGGGGACCCCCATTTAGTCTTGTAGTCCTGAATACTTCTTGGAGACCCTGCCATGCTGTCTTTCCTTGGCATTAATAACTTATCTAACAAATCTCTTATCCCAAAGGATAATTAATCTCAGTGCCCCTTTTGAACTTCTAAATCTGAGACCTTACAGAAAGTCCAGTGCATATATTCTGAGGTTCTCTATGTCTTAAGCCAAGGTTTCAACCCTCTGCCATTGTATTCACCAGTACTGATAGGAAAGCACTGCCCAGCTGGGTTTGAGCCCTGGAGAGTGGACTCCAAACTCTCCTGTCCTGGTTTCTGAAGTTTCCTTTCTTTCTTTGCTACAAAAACTAATGTTTTACCACCATCATCCACTAGTAGAGCATCTGCTCTCCTAATATCCCTGGTTTATTTCCCCCAGAGATTCTAGAAGTCTACACATAGGTTCCTCTGCCATCTTCCCTCCTACAGCCATGCACATATGATATTCCAAACACACTAAATTATAGGTAGACTATACTACAGCCAATACCTTTGCATTCTCTGTAATGTGTATGAAGTATCATGACTAACTCTAGGTATTAATGTCAAATAGTCCCATTTTGTAAAAGAGAAAACTGAGGCACAGAGAGGTTAAGTAAACTGATCAGGGTTGTATAGGCCATAAAGAGGTCCAACAGGTCTTCAAACCAAAGCATGCTGGAGTGGAGTTCATGTTCCTGACCACTGAAATGTAGCACTCCTCTGAATAATAGGAAAACGCTTCTAAAAGTGCCCTGTGAAAAGTCTCCACTGCTTTACATTGTGTAGTACTGAAACATCCTCTCTTTATGAGAAATAGCAAATAGGGTTAAGGGCTTGATAATAAGTCACTCTCTCTCTCTCTCTCTCTCTCTCTCTCTCTCTCTCTCTCTCTCTCTCTTGATATTTCTATGTATTCCTACTTGGCCAAAAAGTCTTTACTTGCCTGCTCAGTGGAATCCAGGAAGTCCCCACACAGATATTGTTGTCAGTAGGCTGTTTAATACTGGAAATCTTCAGGGGGTTCAGGTTATAGGCATACAATAATAAAACCTACGAGAAAAATTAAAATGCACTGTTAAAAATGTTTCTGTAGAAAAATATTTGAGCGTTTTACCTCAATTTACCTTAAAGAGAAATGATGTAAATAAGAGTTATGTCAAGTTATTTATTCATGGTACCACATTCCTGAAACCCCAGAACTTGATAGGCAGAGGCATGAGGATTGAGAGCTCAAGGTCAGCCTGGACTACAGGCTGAGTTAAGACTAGCCTGGGCTATAGAGCAATAGACTGCCTCAAAAAAAGAAATGTGCAAAGATAATTAGATGAAAATAATTACTATTTGGTAATAGTGATTTTTGAAGAGTAGCATTTTGTACTGCAGTTAAGTTTAAATTTTAGTTAAGCAAGCACTTCTTTCTCCCCATTTAGCTCACCCACACACAACTTCACAGCCCTGCTTCTAAGGTGAGCCTTCTCTCCTTGACTCATGCTCTGCTAGTTTCTGTATTTCTTGGATTTGGTTAATTCTTAGAGTCATCTCCATGCAATGTAACATCTATTTACAGTTGTGAATTCATAAAATGTGAGACTCTTAGAAACTTCCTTCACATTTTAAAAATAATAAAGCTCAGAGCCAACCATCAAAACCGAGTAGTTAGGCACATGTTTTTATCTCTGCTTCCATACAAGACAAGCTACAATAAACTAAAGGGATTTTAAAAGACATAAGTTCACAAAGACAGAAAGAAAAGTGAAAGAGATGGGACTTAGCAGCTCTTTGAGGGACAGAGAGCATTTGGAAGACACGGCAGAAAGGGAAGGTGGGTTCTAAGTGTCTTCAGAGGGATCACCTATATTGAATGTGACCTAGACCAGTGAAAAGCTCTAAGATTAGAGGCTCCACCACCCCAGAAGTCAAGAATGGTGGGACTGCAAAAAGAGGTGTGGGATGGCCCTCTAGGCTCTTCTCTGCCCCCAAGTGGGAAGATGTCACACTCCCCTTGGCACTTGGTCACACTTCCCTTGGCACTTGGTCAGGCTTCCCTTGATGCTTGGTCACACTCTCCTTTATACTTAGTCACACGTCCCTTGACATCTTTCTTGGATGAACCTCTCCAATCTGTGCTCTCCTCAGGAGCATTAGGTATAGGAGTTAGGTACTATTGGGAAAATACAGAAATTACTGTATTCTGAATGAGAGATATTCTCCCATTCAACCACAGTAGGACTGCCAGCACATCCCCTGCAGGGTGTTTGACCAGTTAAAGAGAAAAGACTCACAGGTACTGGCATTTCAGCACCCTCCAATGGACTGCTGACTCTCCCTCCAATTATCCTACAACGAAGCCTATATATCAATAAGCCCGGCACCACATACCTTCAGTCCCTCACCTCTAACAGGAATAGACAGTCAAGAGTCCACTAGAAAGGAAACGAAAGACAGAAACCAAAAGTACGGAAGAAAGGAACTCAGAGGATCAGACAGTAGAACAGAAGAAATTACTAATAAAACCATAGTGCACCTTCAGAAGGACAGTGTTGTATCTGTGAAGGAGGAACACTGGACTATGTAAATGAAGCCAAGAACAATGACAAAACATGTGACCACGGGGCTGGAATTCAGCAGTTAAGAGTGCTGGATGCTCTTGCAGAGGGCCCAGGATTTGGTTCCTAGCACCCACTTGGTGGCTAAAAACCATCCATAAGTGCAGTTCTAGGGGATCTGATGCCCTCTTGTGACCTCCATAGGCATTGCATGGCACAGGGGCACTTACATACATGCAGACAAACACTCATAAACATGAAGAAAAATAAATAGAACATAAAAATTTAAAAACATGCCATCATAACATCTAAATAAGCAGTAAAATATTTAAAACATAAAGATAAATACATCATCCCAAAAGTAAAATCTAAATTCACACCATAGATAACAGAAAAAAGATGAGCAAGCTAAACTCTCAACTCAATAGGTTCACTATACGAATAACAGAAATTCAAGAATATGCAAAGATAACCATTGGGAGGACGCAAAGACAAAGTCTCTTTGGACTAAAAAATATTTCTTTCCAGAATGAAAACAGCATCTGGAATATCCAGCAGAATGGAGGGAAGATGATACCAAGGCATACATGACATTTCAGTACATGAGGGTCAGCACACAAGGGATAGAAAAAAGATCCCCATCTTTCTCTCTCTCTCTCTCTCTCTCTCTCTCTCTCTCTCTCTCACACACACACACACACACACACACACACGACCTAGGATCCCACAGCTGGGTATGCATAAACAGCAGTATATCAGTCAATCAAAGCCACAGCTGCACTCTCATGTGTAGTGTAGCACCATTCACAATAGCTAAGCTGGGGAACCCACCTATGTGTCCATCCACACAGGAGTGGGTATAGGAAATTTATTCATGATAGAACACTGTTAATCTATAAAAATGAATCCAGACATTGGTGACAGCATGGATGAACCTAGAAGACATAGCTTTAAGTAAAATAAACTAGACACAGAAACACACACTACATGACTTGCTCATTTGCAGAGTAAAAACACTGATCTCCTAGAAGTTGATAGTAGAATAGTTTTATACAATAAGCATGGATAGTTTGGAGAGGGTACACAGATATTGGTGAAAGATATGTAACTAGTTAGGTAGGAGGAAGGTATTTTTTAATGTGTGTTTAGAATAAACAGAGAAAGAAAGCAGGTAACTGCTGGGGTTTGGGGCAAGAACAGGACAATGTAGAAAAATGGGAATGGCTTCTACTGGTTATTGAAATATTTTTGGTACAGTGAAATTTTTATTTTATGTGTATGAGTGTATTGCCTGCATATATGTAAGTGCATCTGTGTCATGCAGTGCCTATGGAGGTCAGAAGAGGGCATCGGATCCCCTGGAACTGGAATTATGGATGGTTGTTAGCTGCCATGTGGGTGCTGGAATTCGAACCTGAGTCCTCTGCAAGAGCAGTCAGCGCTCTTAACCACTGAGCCATCTCTCCAGCCTCCTAGCCTCTTTTTTAAACTGAAATTTTTATTTTATGTGTATGAGTGTATTGCCTGCATATATGTAAGTGCATCTGTGTCATGCAGTGCCTATGGAGGTCAGAAGAGGGCATCGGATCCCCTGGAACTGGAATTATGGATGGTTGTTAGCTGCCATGTGGGTGCTGGAATTGAATCCTGGTCCTCTGCAGGGGTAGCCAGTGCGCTTAACCACTGAGCCATCTCTCCAGCCCCTGTATGGTGAAATTTTTATAAAACTGATTGCAGTAATGGTTGTACAACTCTGTGAGTCTACTAGGAACCATTGGATTACATACTTTAAATGGGTGAACTGGATGAACTGTATCTCAATGAAGTTCTCTCTCTCTCTGTCTGTCTCACAAAGAGAGAGAGAGATATGTATGAATGTGTACATGTTCATGTATGTACTTGTGTACAGGTATGTATGCAGGTGTGGGCACTAACATGTGGAGTCCAGAGGTGAACTTCAGGTGTCTTCTTCAACTGCCATCCATCTCATGCTTTTGAGATAAAGTTTCTCATTCAACTTGAAGCTTGAAAAAAAAAAAAAAATCTAGTTCTCCTGGAGACCTAGGAATCCTCTTGTTTCCTCCTCCCCACCCCTGGGATTAAAGGTATTTGTCACCACAGCCGGCTTTTTATGTGGGCTCTCCAGAGCTCAACTCAGGACCCCATGCTTTCACAGCAAGCATTTTACCAACCCATCCATTTCCTCAGCTGTTGTAATCCATCAGTTTTGGTAACTCACTGAAGTATAGTGTGATGATAAAATCTTATAACCATTCTGAAGAAAAGAAAAAGGAAGGGGTAAAAAGAGGAGAGGAGAGCATCTGACTTCTCAAGAGCAACATAAGATTGCAGGGACAGCAGCGATGCCTCCCGTGTGTTAAATTGTGTATGCAAACTATGGAAATATGGCAAAACCTTTTTTTATAAGAAGATGAAATCTTTCCCAGAGAGATCAGGCCAAGGCCACATGCTGACTTATGCTTTCATTCTTACTTTGTGTTTGTTCCCTTGATTCCCAGGGTGGAATTTAAGATTTTTGAGGCAAGGTGTATCATCTTGTACTTTTGAGTACTTTTGTCAGTATTTGTCCAATTAATATCATCATGTTCCTGAACTTTTCATTATGTCGTTAAGGGCCAATGAAATTCCCTAAAAGATGTGAGTGTAAAAGTTTGCATTAGACTCACACCTCAGACTTAACCTCTGGTCAGGCAAATGCTTTTCCTCCTCTTCAAGTCAACACCTGTCAGTAGCTTTGCATGCGGATTCAAAGCCTTTCCTAACTGAGCATGGCACAGACAACTAAATTAAATGGATAAGTAATGGTATGAGGTCAGAGCATCGTATCACCAAATACTAAACCCACTTGTGTTTACAATGAGCATGAAATGAACTTGGGCCACAGTGCCTGGCTTGCCTCCCCCACTCAGTGTGATCTTGAACTTATCTCTCCTTCCTTATTTGTAAACTGGAGATGTGGCAGTCCCATCCCCTAGGATTGGTATGAAGATTTTGGAAGTCCATGCAGCATGTGTAGCACAGTACTTCCAGCACTGCCGTTGTTTAGCTCCAGGATGACTCCTGACTCCTCAGCGTATCTTCCTGCTTCATTCTTTAAATTCTCTGAGACCCACCGCTAATCTCAACCTGACTTTCCCATCTGATCTCCCAGCCAGACCTCTCATCCACCAGCCTAACAACATGTCTGGCTTATAATATGTACCTTCTTAGTGTTTCACTAATGTATAAGCAGCTAAGTCTGTATATGTGCATGTTACTTAAAAAAAATCACTATTACGTATCGGAAGACCTGGATCTCCCAGTCCTGTTTTTGTCACTAAGGAGTTGTGGCACTGGGTGGGTCACATTATTAACATGTGACTTGGCTTCCTTATCTTCAAAATGAGAGCATCTAATAGATGTTCCCTTAGTTTATTTACAGTTCTGAAATTTGACTTGGGTTGTAAAAAATGAACAAAGAAATAAACGAACATCATTAGAGCAGGTTTCCAGTGAGGCCTAGACCACAACAGGGGAGCTGCCTTTTCGACTGCAGAGGTACACTGGTAGTCATGCCTAGAGGCTAGTGCTCCTCAGACCTGAACAGGCACTTTTTACTTGGAGATATTATGACATGTGTATCCTTGTTTAGTACTGCTGGGGCAGGACTTGAGATTTCAGCATTCCTAAAGGGGTTTCCAGCACCCACCAACACTGCTGACTGTCAGCCACACTTTGAGCAGTGAGAGTCAGATGTCAGCTTCAGCCTCATCCACACAGCCTCTGTCTTTCTCAGCTCCCAGAGCTAAAAGAAATTTGGGTTTCATCTGCAGGATCAGGATCTAGCTAATTTTTTGACCACCATACCCCAGATCCAGAGGCAACTGTGAAGGAAATCCTGGGTGGGCATATGGTCCTTGGGTTCTAGGGCTCCTGACACTAACTGTGGGAACCCTAGCTCTTGTCTTGGTCTGCCTGGTAGATGAGCTGATCTTGAACACACAACCTGAAATAGAGTGTAGCTCTCACTAAAGACAAAAGGACTCTAGAAAGGAGCAAGTCTCCATGTCTCTTGCCCCTAGCTTGGCTGAATTCCTGCACTGAATAAATATCTCCAGGGCCCATTTTTATCCAAGTTTGTGTTTTCACTTGTCAGATGGAGTCTTGCTATTCAGTCCTTGATTGAACAGACTTCCTGAACTTGGTTTAGCCTGTCTGCCTGAGCCTTCTGTGGTCTTGGTATACCTAGCATCGGATTATCTAGACACATACAACACAACAGCCTTTGAAGTGATGTTGCAGCAGACCAAATTAGGTCTTAATGCCTATAAAAGGGTCAGCCACTGATTCTGCATCATCCCTACTAGTTCTGAATTGCTTAGCCTGAGCCTAATCCAACCTCATTCTGAACCACAAATAGGAATCCTGGTTGCTAAACAGAGCAGGAAGATGAGGCAGAATAAAAATCAAGGCCCTTAGTATATAACCTTGAGACAAATCTAGGTCATCAAACCTTTAATTCTGGGTTCATGTTTTTATAGCTGAGCTATGGCTGTTCGTTGGACAAAAATCAGTGATTCTGCAAAGCAGTCTGTAAAGCCAGTATCTGGAAAGTTCTTTAGGTTGACAGTTCCTAGCAACCATTTGCGTTCTGTCTCTACAAGATAATGAAATTGTTTGAGAGATACTTATTTTATAACAAAAATCTAATGAATTACTGGCCATGGAGTTCTAGTATATTCCACTAAATATATATTTTTAAAATAGGACAGTCTAATTTCTGCTTCCTATCCTTGTGAAGTTTTTTCAAGTTATGAACTTAGCTCCAAAGTAGCATTACATCAAGATAATTCTCTCTCTGAATTCCTAAAAAAAGTATTCTCTCAAAATGTCCCAATGCCAGAATTTCTACTCCACTGCCCCCAGCATCCTTAACAACTATTGGCATCTCTGCCTCTAAGCAATGAGTAAATGGCGGAATGATCAAGTGATATGTATGTCATGCAATGGCCTTTTCAGTTCCTGGAACCTCTGAAGGGCTAAGTCAGACACGAATTCTCATTATCATTCCACCCAAGGCTCAGAGTGCCTGCAGCCATCATCTGAGGACTCAGTGTGGCACCATGCTTTGGCAGACATACTTTGGCTCCAATCTGTCTCCTTGCCACCTGGCATTCCTCTGTCCTGGGTCTTAGTCTCTTCTCCTGTGAAATGGGACTAGTGATCTCAGCTACTGCTCAGAGTTGCTATGAAGCTAATGAGAGCCAAATGCTTGGCATGCATCAAGCTCCGCACAGTGCTCAATATGGCCACTGTCTAGCAACTTTGATGAGCATTGGTGTCTAGACTAGATATCCAACTCTATACTGGTACTCACCCATGATGCAGATGAATATACAATATCTAAAGCTTCAAACAAATTACAATATTATCTTCCAAAAGGACAAATTAGGTTCTGAGAAAATGTGATTCATCTTAGGAAATGTTTCTCCATTGCTTTTTAATGATTTTATGGGAACCACTATATCTTCTATCATCACACACATACTCACTGTTAAAGGGGAGAAAATGTCCCCAAAGTAAGAGAAATGGGAAAACTGTTTTGCATGTTTTCTTGTCTCTTAAGAAAAATCATTCACCTTCAATCTGAATTAGTTGGTTGGGACTTTGTGTCTAATTTCCTCCTGACATCCGTTCATGAATCCTTGTTCACTCTTAGACATAACTGTTTATGGAGGTTGCCTGTTGTTCTAATTACACCATAGCAAAGTCTCGGCATTTGCCTCCTAGATGATGGCTTGTGCTTGTTTTCTGACAGCAGCACAAAGACATCCCAGACCCTCCTGCCCCATCTGCCCACTCAGTAACAGGCATGAATGTAGCAACACTTCTCAGTCTGGTGACGTGATTTTCTGCAAGTTTTCTAAAACATTGCTTAGGTAAATATTCTGTTTCCCTACTATAAAACTCTCTCTCTCTCTCTCTCTCTCTCTCTCTCTCTCTCTCTCTCTCTCTCTCATTAATTGCCAGAAAGTATACATTCTGACACATGATATCAACCTATTTATGAAACTTTGTTTTTAACAACATAGGTAATAAAATTTTTTTCCTTACTATTTTTTTTTCATTTCTTATATGACATTTCCATTTTTAATTGTTTTATTTCTTTAAAGAAAATGTTATTCATGTGTTGGGGAGATGGCTCAGTAGGTAAGAAAGTGCTCACTGTGCAAGCATGAAGGCTTGAGTGCAAATCTCCAGCACTCAATTAGAAATCCAGGCATGGCTCTTTGTGCCTGTTAACCTAGCATAGGGACAGACAGAGACAGGTGATGTCAGGAGCTCAGTGGCCAGACAGTTTAGCCGGAAACAGCAAGCTTGTATGTAGTTCAGTGAAAGACACTTCTGAAGGGAATGAGGGGAGGAGCAATAAGAGGAAGACAATGCCCTTCTCTGGCCTCTACTCGTGTGCATGTGGCACACAGGCACACACACACACACACACACACACACACACGCACACACGCATACACCCCACTACATTGATTCTCTGACCTATTAATGTTTGGCGAACCACAATTTGAAAACTGATACAGTAAATTCTCCTGGCAATATATCACAGATAGATTCTTTTAAAAGGTGGCTGGAATATCTGGCAAGAGCTCGACTAGGAAAGAGTGGAACAGCCAGTGTGGCAGCCTTCCACAGCCACACATTCGGCAATTCCCAGATATAATCCACTGCAGATAGAAAATATTTTTTAATTGTGTCCATACAGGTTATTTTTCTTGTTATTCTCTATATAATACAGAATAACAACTATGCATACAACATTTAGATTGCATAAATTTACAATGTTTGTATAAATTTATATACAGAAATGATTTAAAGTACAGAGGAGAATGCATATAAGTTATATGCGAATATGTCATTTTATTAAAGAGACTTGAGCATTCATGGATATTTGGTATCTTTGGGAACCAATCACCTGCAAATACCAAGGGATGAACTTACCTTTCAAATGTAAGAAATGACGTTAAATATATCTGGGAAGTGATGTAGTAAAGTTTCTTTTTTTAGCCGAATGGAAAGAGCTGTATCACTGGCCCAGAGTTAATAGCAGGCTTCTAGCTTAAGGAAGCAGGAGGAAGAGGCCAGTGTGAGAAGCACTGGAGAACAAAGAGAATGGGCCCTAGAGGCTTCTGATTTGATGGGGGTCATGTGAGTCTAGGAGATGCCAAAGATACCAGAGGCACTGCTGGAAGGGACACCTCTCCAGTGCTGGGAAGTGCTAGAGGAGACCAATGCGGGAGACAAAAAGCAAAGGAAATGCTGAACAGGGAAAAAAATCCTTATGGCTTGCATTTTATGGGAAAATACCTGAGGCTCTTAGAGAGAGCAACCATCAAAGGAATTCTATAGTGGAAGGTTTCTGTGTAAAGGACTATATATATTGACTAACTGTTCCACTTTTCAAAGCTTGACCCATTTCCAAGACTCACCTAGACTCTGAATCACTCCGTTCAGTCTTCAATCATTAAGGGGTTGATATACATGTCAGTTCTAGCAGTCTAAGCACTAGCTCCAAGTGGAACATTTAACATACCATTGGTTCTGTGTCCTTTGGAGGTTTGTCCAGGGGAGGAATGTACCACTGAAAGCACAGTTCTTTGTTTAAAGCTTGTATTGCCATATCTGACGAAATTTCAAGAGAAGATGGGCTGGGATGGGGTTTCAAAGATAAAACAGACTGCAGGGAACTGTCCCGGTGAATCTAGGGAACAGTAATAACAAAACCCCTTGTCAGTTAAGATGCTGATTATGAGGTCATTCAATAGTTAAAGCAAGTTAACTGGTTACATTAAAAAATTCTGGAAATTAACTCAGGTTATTTCATGAGGGTAGATCTTAAATCAGCCCCTAGATAACCATACGCCAAATTCTCATGCAATGAACAATGCTTTAAAACCCAGTAGACTCAGCAAATGTCTTCCACTTTAGCAGAACTTTCAGGGTGAAAATGTGGAGGGGGAAATGTCCCGCAACCTCAGCCTCAAAGTTCCCACTGTTTCTAAGAAATGATTTCTACTTTATTTCCAGTTTATACATTGGTAAATAAATGGACCATGTGCTGGGGCTCCAGTGGTGCAATGGGTTAGCTTGTGGTGCTTATGAAGACTCTGTAAAATAAGTAATATGAAATTTAAATCATATGTAAAATAAGACACATTTTTTTCCCCTTTCTGAAAGGTTAAAATCAAATGTTCTCATTCTCTCTTTAAAAGAGTATGGCTGATTTGTAAGTTCAAGTCTTTGGTAGAATCTAAATCTGCCTTCTTTAATGAAACTTGAGCCAGGAACACAAATATGTAGAACGTAACTGACAATTTCACAGTTGTTTAATTTGTTATCTGAGGTAGCTAAGGAAGAAAAAAACAGTTGCTATTTATCAACAACCAGAGAGGCTAACCAGAGAGGTAGCAATGTGGGTAACAGCACCTCAAGTTTAAAAAGAACCTTCAATGGAATGCAAATTATTTTCAATATTAACTCCTTGCTGCTTCTAAGACCACAGCCCAGTACCTGGGAAGCAGTTTCCCTGCTCCACTGACATCCAAGGCATCTTAAAATATGGTGACCAAGGGGGCACATCAGTGCCAGAAATGCTTAATGCTTCTATAAAGCTTTGTCCCTCCCATTATGCACAAGCTTATTCAAGCTTTGACTGTGAATGCAAGTCTTCAAAATAAAAACAGAATGGAGAGACACTGACCTTTCAAACTGTCCACTGATGAAAGAAAAAAAAAAAAAAAACA